TGTAAAAACATACAATCTACTCCACTTTACTGCAGCGCTGCAGTTTTAAATTAGTTCTTTTAATTCAGATAGGAGGTCATGTTGTGACGTATCGATCTGCCGTTGGTTACACGGTATCACGTGATGCGAATTCGCAGGCCAGAGTTCACCAAGTTTGAACTTTGGAACGCAGCGAAATGCGAAAACTTTTCGCACGGGCTTGCGTTTCCAGTCTGATGCATTCGCATGCGTATGAATGGAAGTCAATGGAGAGAAAAGTGCAGTGTGACCGCGGCTTGACTCCTAAGCGATTGAGGTGTTCTGTTGTTGGATGTAATAGTGAACATAGCAGTAGTCATTTACTCCCGACATCTGAGCCGCTGAAGACGCAGTGGATTAATTTAAATGAATGGGATTGTGTCGCTTTGCTGTTGCGTGTCGCTTGTAGTGTGAACGGGGCTTTAAGAAATGTTTAACTTTATGCAAATGAACAGCGAATTTCGCGAGCGACAACCAATAGGAGTGAAGAATCTGTCAGTGGCGCTCACACGTCACCGTCTCGAGTGCAGGCAAGACAGGACAGATTTCCTGAGCGATTTTATATGATTTTACTGTAACCACATACATGGATATAAAATATGACGTGTAGAAAAGAAACCGTTGGCTGTCTAAGTGAGTTTGATTCATACATTGATGGTTCGAGTTGTTAATTATATGATGCAGTGAGCAGTTTAGCACCGGTTAATGATTTAATGTATGAGCACTGCTGTAGTTTATATAACAACACTCTCCAACAGCAGAATGGTACTTTTATTTCTTTTAAGTCTAATTCCTAGTCATAATAGAATGATATCTTAGTTTTACCGGCAATATACAGTTTGTGATTGCATTTTATATGTCCAGATATGTCCAGACGTGCAGTCTACCAATAACATTAGAGCTACAGCAGTAGGAACGCCCACAAGCGTCTTCACATCACCGAGTCTAGCGACATACAGCGAAAAAGTCGCTGGCAATGTGAACGGGGCTTAACATTTAAAGGACAATGCTACAAAAAGGCTTGCTCTGAAAAGAGCTGTTTTTGACAGGGTAAAAAAGGTGTTTTTTACACTACCATTGAGAAATTTTAACCAAACTGTGTTACAGACTTTTCATTAAGGCCCTAAAGAATCATATCAACTTGTGGAAAATGGGCATCAGATGACACCTTTAAACAATTTAATGATGAAAAGTGATCACTTTCAGTGTTGTAATTGTGACAGCAATTTTGATTCTGTAAAGACTTAGAAGTATTTAGTGGTAAATGTTTGTTCTGCACTCTTGCACTCTTTTCTCTGCAGCGAGGTGCCTACTGAAGCTCTGGAGAAGCTCAGCATCACAGACAATAGTGAGTCTTCAGCGTCTACAGAAGAGTCAGACGCTACCACTGTGATGGAGACAAGGTAAATGTGAATGTGTATTAACCAGATGTTATGTTGTTAGATAAAAAAGGACCCACCACCCTCTCTTATTCTCTCTTATGCCTCTACAGAGTCGAGGCGCCTTCTTCAGCTGAGATCATGCCTAATGGACCGGTCTGAAGGCTCTGGATAGGAGTCCGACCCACTCTCCGCTTCTTCCATTCTGAACCCCCAAACCTCAATACCACTTTTGGTGTTTAAATAAAGAATGCTGCCATGTTATTGGTCCTGGATACTGCCAATCAGCCCATAATTGGAGGAGGAAGCCAGGGGCATGTAACACAAGAAACCAGTAACCAGTACAGTGCTCAGAGGTGTTAGTCTTTTAATCCTTTCAACTTTGTATGAGATATGCACAGTTTTAAATGTAGCAGTGACCGTGTGATTACAGGATCTGTCAGGACTTCTTTTTTTCCTTGGTTTGTGTCCCTCCCTTCATTTTTCTGGATCTGTTTTTTCGCTCTCAGCCTTGGATGGTAGAAAACAGGGATGTGAAGGTCCTAATTGGAAAGCACAGGCTCATCCTTCACGGCATAACGTCTTGAACATCCTCATGCAAAATCGAAAGCCTCGTTGCCTGACAACAGCCTCTGCAACAATTTACTGTATGTTGAAGCACAACTGAAATGTTCTGTAATGCTTGACACATTTCTGCACAGGTCACCGCCCTGCCAAGTTCACTTCTAAGATTTTTTAAACATATTATTATGGCCTAATCTCATTAAATCATGTATTTGAATGTTTTGAAGTGCTTTGGGGCAGAAATGTATGACACGGTGTCCACGTCGGCACCTGTGCAGTAATGTTTAGTCATTTAATTTAAATTTGACTCATTCAGAAACTATACATTAGTGGTGGGGGTGTGCCTCTGAATTTTTTTGGACTTTTTCCATTGCATGCAAAACATTATTTATCAAGCATATACAAGCAGCTGTTTTTTTCCAACAACGTTCTAGCTAGTTAGTCAAGACCTTCTAATTGTATTGGTTTACTTTTGTCCGTTCTTTTCCCCTCCCCTCAGATCAACTAAACAGTTTCTATTTAATTTTCTGCCTTTTATGCTTAAGCTTTCCAAAAATTGAATCATGGGTTTAAAGCAAAAAGCTTAAAGTAATCGTAATAACCTTTGCCTTAAGTTACAAATCCTTCAGAATCCCTGTGACAGGACAGAAGGGTTTGCCACAAAGCAAACAGGCTTTTTTTGTCTGTTTTTAAATGTCAGCTGGTCTCGAAAGAGCAAATACATACGCCCCTCACAATTTTATTTGTATCCCTGTCTAGCGCAAATGCAGCACATGATCCCCCCCCAGAGGCCTAGAAAATTTGCCCCAACTCTAGTATATCACATATGAAATACTCCACAGGACAGTGTTATGCATCATCAGTTTTTTTTTTTTTTTTAAGCCAGAACTCTTGTTATATGCTGTCAGAAAGACTTTTCAGACTTGTCTCAGAACCTTTCATTAGCTCTCGTTGGAAATACCAAGATCCACTTTTAATATTTCATCCTGAACAACGTGATTATTTTTTCTTCCAGGATTTTTTTTTTTGGCTATCACATTTCACGTATCATATCTCTGCAAGCTTACTATGGTACCAAATCTGTTGGATTACAGGATTGGGATACTGTATTATTTATTTTGCACTTATTGAGGTGTTAGTATGGAGACCTGGTCTCCCATCTTGCATTGTAACACTGCTTTGCTTTTTTTTTTTTTCTCTCGCTCTTCATGATCTTTGCCTCTGGAGAGTAAATCCTCCATTGACTCTGCTTCTAATATCTATAACATGTTCAAATAGGTTTGTTTCCAAAGCCAAAAGTATGTATTTGCCTTTTTCCTTTAACTGTTAAAAAAAATCTTATTTTTAACTTTAACCAATATTATTTTACATATTGTAGAGATTCTAATTTATGTGATCTTCAGCAACCAAAATATTGCTCCGTTCTATTCTGTTCCTCTGTCTGGACTGTTTCTGTACATTTACAGCTTGGTTGGGAGTTTTAAGCTTTGTATTCATTTATTTTCCCAAGAGAAGTCTGTTACACAGCTATAGATATTTAACAGATAATGGTTGTATTATTTTCAAAAGTTGCCAAACATTTATTTTAATTTTAATAAGACTGTTCCGGGTTCGATTCTATTACAACAGAAAGTAATTTTGACTCGTTCGTCAGACTGTACAAGTCATCCACTTACAGTGAAAGTTTACTTTAAGACATTGCTCTGGAATAAACTTTTACATTTTATGTTTCTAAAGTAAAGCTTTAGATGTTATGCAGATTTTAACGATGTTAATACGGGACGTGCGCCCCTGTGGAATACTTGATTCTGATTGGCCATTAATCGCTGTATAGAAGGACGCTCATCCGGGTAACTAATTTTATGTTTTTAAAGTAAAGCTTTAGATGATATGCAGATTTTAACGATGTTAATACGGGACAAGTGCGCCCCTGTGGAATACTTGATTCTGATTGGCCATTAATCGCTGTATAGAAGGACGCTCATCCGGGTAACTAACTGAAACGGCTCACTTTCCTGTCAAACTAGAACGTAAATGGCGCCATCTTGTGTCTACGTTATCACTTGTAGCAAAAAGACAAAATTCAGGTAATTACTTGTCAAGTAACGAACAAATTCGACTTAAACAGTAGTCCCATTGAAAAATGACGAGTTGGACCACAACTAACGTAACGTCTTAAATAACAGCGTTAACGTTATTTTTGTTTATTAGAAACTGAAAGGGGTCGAAATTATTCTCTGGTAACTGACAGCATCGAACCTGGAACATTTTTGTACAGCTGTAACATTACAAGCTCCCTACAGTTCTCTCCCTCAAATACAGTGACCTTGATTGGATTTCATGCACTTGTAAATAGTGGTTATATATCTCCATGCCATAATAATGATGCTGGATTTGAGCAGTTGGAAGGGAAGGACACGTGCTGCAGGATAAACGAATTACCATGTTTCAGAGCACTTCAAGTTCACAACTTCCCGCTAGTCATTCGTTTTAGAGCATTAGTATATTGAGACGAGTTTGTCAGAATATAAGGTATTCATTGATGGCATAAAATGTAGTTCTCAGCACATTGACATTTGTATAGACTGGGTCTGTACATTATATTGTTGCCTACATCAGTACCTATATATTTTGATATTTTCAGAATGGAATAAATCTGTTATTGAGAGAAATGATTTTCATCAGCTAATATGGCGGAGTGAAGTTTACCATCCCTTTCTTGTGCAGCTGTGTACTTTGAAACCTTCTCTGGTCTTTTCTTAGGCCAACGAGAGCCGAATGGACGCCTTCCAAGAATCTGCAAACTCCTTTATAAACACACGTACCATTTTGGATGTGTGCATCATGCTTTGATGAGGCAGAACAGATGCTAGGGTTATTCTTGGGGGTTCTCAGCCTTAATCTAAACAGAGGTAAGACAAAACCCAGGAATGAAAGCAACAACCATTTGCTCAGCTTCATTTTAATATGAAACTTTTTTTTTTTTTTACAAAAAAAAAAAAAATCTTACAGCCATTATGAAAGACTCAGCAATCACAATTTACTTGATTTAAATTTAATTTAGATTAAAAGAAATCCTTAAAACAGCTTTACACGTTAAGGCCATGACATGCAACATCAATGATTTCTCACAAAAAAAGTAGATAAAATCATTTGATAATTGTGGTAAATAAGGCACACAACTGGTTTTCTTACAAAAGTAATGGGTTTCAATCCACAACTTCACAGTATGTAGTAAAAATCGTGCAGGGAATTATAAAATTAACAAGTAGAGATCATTAGTTTTGCATTATAATTCTTTAATAATTATGGGACATTTTACTAGTTAGAAAAGCGCATATTATTGACACTGCAGAAGGCACAATAAGGAATAAAAGCAGTTATGTTGTATGATATTGTTATTGCTTGCTATAAACACTAACGGCATGTAACAGCTGCTAGACATACAGCTCAAATAATCTCAGAATGTGCAGAAACCAGACAGACCATCAACACAATAACGCATGGAAATCTTTGAACATTTTTGAACTTCCCATATGTAACAACATTCCCAAAAGCTAAGGATAAATGGCATGAAGCTGAAAACAGTAGTTTAACAGTAGGTCAAAAACCAACACAAATCAATAACAACCCATCACACACCAGAGATATGGGGCAGTTTTTAAATTCAAGGATTTAAAACAAGATTCTTCATTATTTACCTTCAGGAATAAAGTCCAGCAGTCAAAATACCTTTGCCAGTAGAAAAATAAATATTACCATAAACAAAGAAATAAATAAATTTTTGGTGACAGCAGCCCTCAGCCATTTCACTTCAATCCAGTATGATCAACATTTAGGGTGTCATAGTGCAGTGATAAATATAAGCGCAAACCCTCTCCATTTATATTTTTGGGAGGAAAGAAAAAAACAGTACACAAGAAAACATGCAGTAAATCATCTGATTCAATATCTCTCTTTTCCTTATGACACTGAAACCTCACAAATGGCAAAAAAAAAAAACTTGCTGTTTATGGACCAGTTATTAAAACAAACCCCATAGGCATGGAATTTTAAGACTGAATTCCAGGGCTGGAAAATTCACAACAATTTAAGTTGTGGATATTTCTATGGTGAATATACATTTTTATAGTGATTTTCAACTAAAATATTGACCTGGCTACATATTGGTCTTTGTGATTGCAATCCATTTAGTGATCATGGACAATTGGAAGAAACGTAATGGAAACTCACTGTTCAAAAGTAGTGGGAACCCTGTAAAACAAATACAAAAATAGAGCAAATGCTCAGGAGCACTAATGGCAATATTCAAAATACAGGAAGTCAACCAACAAATTTAAAGTCTATACTCTACTCTCACTTGCACCATTGTCAATGCTAATTGAACAATACAACTTTGCATATGTTCAATTTTGAACTTTTCAACCTTCTCCAGGCTGTACATGAAAATGCTAAATAATTTGAAATACAGTGAGAGGTTGATTCTACTCATGTTTCATAGGAATGCATCCTTCCATCTCTAAAACCTCTGGCCAGCCTTCATACTTGTTAGTCTCTGCGTTGTTCTTGATGTGCTGGAGACATAAGAGATGGTTTATTAGATATTTAAAATATTAAACGAAAATCTGAACAGGACGTGGCCTCTCATTAGTGGGGGCTGCGGCCTGAAAACAAGATACAAGGCAAATTTACCTGCTCAAAGGGGCTCTTTGTCTTGATCCCTTTGCCTCCAACAAACACCCAGTTATCTCTAAATCCCAGTATGCTGATGCTTGAGCTGCCTAATTCTGCTATCATATTTCTGGCCTCATCGTTTAGCCTGTTCATAATAATAAAAAAAAAGCGATAAATAGACAAGCCGAGACAGATATGTAAAAGTCTGACCAAATATTTGAGTGACTCACTTTGTTGCAGGATCATCAAAAGTGGCCATCATGACAATGCTTCCATCTTCTATTTCCTTTAAGAATTTGATAAGATGGTTCACATCTAGACAAGAATAAACATTTAAAAAGTTTAACTTTTGCATGCGACTCGAAAGGAAATTTCAAGTACTTGACCCTGCCGAGTTTGCAAACAGAAGCAAGCTCTTAGCAATAAAACCGTAACACATTGGCCCTGTTTTCAACTGGTATTAAAATTAGTCTTTTGCCACCCATTAAAACTCAACCATGGGGCCAGAAACCACTAGGGGGCCTCAGCACTCTTCCAAGTGGGCCTCAAGATAATTTGAAATGATTTAAGACATAATTAGCTTTAAAATACACTTTAAAACTTTAGTTTAATTTGTTTCTTCGACAATTGTCATTTTTATTCATGAATTAATTTAAAAATTTTATAAAAAATATTTGATCAGAAATTGCTATCTGCGAGTAAAAATTATTTTTATCTTGTAATCATCAATGACTATAAAAATCATGCAAATTAGTCATAAATCAGTTCTTGAAATTCTAAAATTATGGAATTTAATGATTCTAAAATAATTACAATTATAAAATAATTGTAATTATTTTAATATATTGCCACTCCTAGTTTCTGAAAATAAAAGATCAAAAAAATTAGTAGCTTTGATTTTAGAATTATCTGAACTATCTTAGCCTACATGGGGGGGGGCTTTAAATGTTGGATTACAGTCAAAAAGGTTGAGAACTGCGGAATAAAAAGCAGTTAGGCGAGACAAGTCCCCATTAATACCCACAATTCTCAAACACTTCTATAACATTTTTGGAGGACAACATTACAATACAAATTGAAATCATATGCATTTTGAAACTATGTATAAATGTGGTTTGAGTGATTAGACACAAGCTATGTTTCCATCACCCTGTTTTTATGCACATTTTGAAGTATCGCATCAGAGTTTCCATCAGTGTGATGGAAATGCCAAATCTCAGGGAAAAAAATCCCTTAATTCACAAAAAAAGTTTTTATGCTCACTTGAGGTGGGTTTTGACTCATACAAAAAAGGGTTAATGCGAATAATGAGAGATGAAAACGCATTTGCCAAATAAATTTCTCCATGCACATCAAAACTGTTATGTGATTTTGCGCTATGGGACGGCAAACTTGAGTAACCAGCACACTCCTTGCACAGCATCTGAAATGTTGTTATGGTCAAATGCCCGAGCAAAGTCTGTTGTCAAAGTATTTCTGTTTAATTGCCTCTCAGAACTCTCTTACACAACTGCGTTCCCAAACAGCAGGCATCCACCTTCGAAAGCAATGACCGCATTCATTGTGTTTCGTCTGCTCGCTCTGAGGTGCAAGTAATTTATTATATGCGAAAATGATTATATTCAGTGGCTTCTCCTACTTTTCTTAGTGATATTAGTTGCCAGTTTATCAGAAAGTGACGATTTTGTTCTATTTGACTCGTTGGATGGAAATGGTGCTTATTCGCAAATGTTTTATGCGATAATTCAATTTTGCGCAAAAGTTAAATTCTCAACTTTGGATGGAAACCCAGATAATAAAACGGCTTGAATAGAGTACATTACTGCCCACCCACTTTTTCCATATTTTTCCCATAGAGATTTTTTAAAAGTCCTAATTAAAGTGATATAAGCCATGAACCAATTCAATCAGCTATGAGAAGAATCACAACAATACGAACTTATATTTGAAGCAAAAAAGTATATAAAAATGGGACAAAAAGACTGTGTACCTAACTGTTTTAGTAAGGTGATCACCCAAGATGGATTTTAATACAATGCAAATACTACACGTGCAAAACATGCAAATGGAAACAAGATATGAGGTCTAAAAACAGATTTACCTCCAGACCACATGTCAAAGGAATCAATCTTGGTGAGCTCGCCGGTCTTGCCTGTAAAAATACTGTGGATGATTAATTCAGGCCAACTTCTCTCAGTAACTGTTCAGTTAAAAAGGTTTCACCATCTACTTGTTTCTAAAGACAAAAAGAAGGCATACCATTGATCAAAGCAATGTTTATACCCCGTCCAACGTTGTTCTTTACTCCACTCATTAATCTGATAAAAGATAAAGAAGAAAGAGTTCACACAGCAGCAGTCAAATTCTTCTAATGTTTCCTCTGAATTCAGGAAGTCCCCAGCCAATAAAAAAAGTCAAGATTTGTATTTTTCTATAGTGATTATTCAGCGCAATTAGAGATGTGTGTAAAACCTACACATTGTCTTGCAAACACATTTTCGGGCCGACAACGCTGGCTGCTCCACTGGTGATCTTAAAAGCAAAATGGTCCTCGGGACATGATTTAGAAAGGCCGCATTTGTGGCGCGGAGGCCTGGTGGCTGAAAACAACATCAATACATCCATAAAAACACGTCTTAACTATTTGAGGGGAAAAAAACAAACATTTTTGGCTATGTTCTTATCTTCTGTCTGCATGATTTATTAATTGTTTATATTATATATGCACATATACCAGACAGGCGTCTTCACGCTGAATTATGTCTACAACAGACATCAAGTGGTTGAAGTTATAAAAAGATCACCGCACCTCAACACACCTACTTTATCTAAAGTAAATGGCAGCTGGCAGCAACGCAACACATCTAATGTGACAACTGTGGAACGCTGTGTCTAATATCAAGAATCTAACACCTACATGCCATTAATGTCATTGCAGGAAAGTTTAACTATGATTGATTTCTGCACAGGTTCAAGTTACGTTTTTAATTCCTCATTTATATCTACACAGTTCTAATCAAAGGCACAGGAGGAGCTTGTTCATTTAGTCCAGTCAGCTACTATTAAGGATTAGGAACTCATTCACTATCCTCAATTCTCATATGTAGTAAAAATAAAAAAAACTATGTACTCACGGACAGTCTCTGCAGGTGCATATCGTGCTGTAGAGAAACATATGCTGATTAGCAAATAGCAGTGTGCCATGTCAAACACTGAAAAACGCGAACTCATTCCTTAACCAAACAAGTGTATTATCTTACTTTACTAACAAAAGACGTGCGCAGTTTCAGATCAATATGTTCTGTGTGTGTTGCAGAAAACGGCTGCATGCGTGAACTTACCAAGTACTTTCCCCAAATTTAAATTCATATTGCTCTCTAATAGCTCAAATGCCAGGAACACAACTAGAAATAAGATAGAAACCAGCACTGCCAGTTTCAAAAGTCCTGTAAAAAAAACAAAACTTAATTTCAACTATTTTGTTCACTTTTGCACAGTAAACCAATTGTTAGGATTACAGCAATTTTTCAATGTCTTAAAGCAAAATTATTTTTTTGCACTGCTGTTACACATACATTACCACAACATATTGTCCACGACAAAAGAGCAAATATTTGCCATTGGTTACATGTAATATATACTTAAGCAGAGTTCATACTGAAAGAAACGGAACACACCTCCTGCTCGCATCATCCTGACGGCCTTGCAAGCACCAGTCACCACACTGAGATCCACACACCTGACATGAGATCAGATATCATCATATAACAAAAGCCTGAATTCCTAAATATCCCAGCTACAATACTTATGTTACCTGCAGGGATCTACTCAAGATAATCAAGATATTTGTGAAGAGTCACACAGCGAAACAATGGCCTGGCTGAGTAACTGACCTATATTTGGTTGATTAAGATTCACAATTCACATTTCCGATACTCATGTATTTGCTTATTATATATTCAGAGTAACTTGATTATCCTTTCAGCTAAGCATATATATATATATATATATATATATATATATATATATATATATATATATATATATATATATATATATATATATATATATATATATATATATATATATATATATATATATATATATATATATATATATATATATATATATATATATATATATACACTGCCGTTCAAAAGTTTGGGATCAGTAAGACTTGTAATGTTTTTTAAAGAAGTCTCTTATGTTCATCAAGGCTGCATTTATTTGATCAAAAATACAGAAAAAAACAGTATCTTGCAAAATGTTATTACATATATCAATATAAAATAATGGTTTCTATTTTAATATCCTTTAAAATATCATTTATTTCTGTGATGCAAAGCTGAATTTCCAGTGTCAAAGTGTCACATGATCCTTCAGAAATCATTCTAATATGCTGATTTATTATTAGAATTATTAATGTTGGCAACAGTTGTGCTGCCAAATATTTTTTAGGAAACTGCGATTTTTTCAGGATTCTTTGATGAATAAAAAG